GAAGAAGAGACAGTTAGCGTGGGAAAACAGCTGCTCAAGTTAATGCCTAATTTCACTTTTTAAGTATTTAAATATTTAAGTATAATAAAATAAGTAATGTAATTTGTGACGTTTATATATTTTTTTCTAAACTTTTCTTTTATACATTTATTAGTTTTAAATGATTTAACAGTGCACTTGTGTGTCTGCCTTTTTTATTGATCAAGTGATAGAGGTTAATATAACATTTAGAAGGTAAGCAGTACTAAAAATAATTTTTAGAAAGAATAATAATCCCATTAATCTAGTTACATGCATGTCGAAGGTAAATTTAATTTAATTATTTATTAAAAGAGGATAAGCCATTCTAGTACAGTTCTTCTGTGTGTGACTAAAATGTAGGCAATAGCTATGTTTCCATCCAAATATATTACATAAATTTATGTGCAAAACTGGAATATTGCATAAGTTGCGAATAAAATTCCATCCAACGAGTCAAAGAGAAAAAAATCGTCACTTCCTGATTAAACTGGCACCAAATATCAACAGTAAAAAACAGAATTTACTGTGGTAGAAGAAGCTGCGTCAATTAATTCTTTATTTAGCCTAATTAATGTTCTTGCGCCTCGATGTCAGAAGACAATGCTGAAACACAATGAACACGTGGGGGCGTCTGAAGCCATGAGACGCGGAGACTCTTGACATGCACCAGACACTCGGAGGTTATTAATAATATACACTAATACTGAAACAGTTAAGGCATTTTAGAATGACTAAAACAATATTTAAGACGTGTTACAGTGTGCCCAGCCTGCTGGTTTGTCCATTTACACACATTTTCATTATCATATGATCATGATCTTTTTTTAATGTACATACTGTAATTTGTTCAGTAAAAGTGTTTCCATCGTAGTTTATGCGCACATTTTCTATCGAATAAAAGTTTATCCTACTCAGTTATGCACGTTTTTTATGCATATTTTAAAAAGTTATGTGCATCATGACGTTTCCATCAATCGTTTTTATGCACGTATCCAAAATAAGCATAAAAATAGGTGGGTGGAAACGTAAGGCTAAGGCGAGAAATACCGCTTCATCTTTAAAAAAGGGGAGGAGACCGACAGAAACTCTGAGTTTAGAGAATAAAACCTGCTTCTGACCAGGTTAGATTCACAGAGTAAGTTACCACAGTAACTGACTCTGAGTTAAAGTTACCTCTCTTTCAGAAACAGGCTTGACTTACCCTGCTTTCTCGAGTTTAACAAACCTGCCATTTTGAAACGGAAAAACCAGAGTTTCTCGCATTTCAGGGTTAAAATACTCTGAGTTTTCAGTTAACCTCCTTTCTGAAACAGGCCCCTGAGGAAGAAGAGGCGTTGTTGTGCCTTCTTTAGCACTGCCTCTGTGTGAGCAGTCCATGTCAATTCCCCAGCAATGTGTACTCCAAGAAACTTGGAAGTGCTGACTCTCTTCACTGGTGTCCCGTTGATGGTGATGGGGGTGTGTTCTCTATTCTCTTTCCTGAAATCCACCACCAGCTCCTTGGTTTTGCTGATGTTGAGTGAGAGGGGGTTTTCCTCACACCACTGCGTCAGAGTGTGTATCTCCTCTCTGTAGGCCCTCTCATTATTATCTGTGATTAGGCCCACCACTGTCATCAGCAAATTTAACGATGACGTTGGAGATGTGTTTGGCTGTACAGTCATGTGTTTACAGGAAGTAGAGGAGTGGACTGAGAACACAGCCCTGTGGATCACCAGTGTTGAGGATCAGTGTGGATGAGGTTATGTTGTTCAGTCTGCTTGAAAGGAAGTCCAGGAACTAGTTGCACAGAGAGCTGTGTAGACCCAGAGCCTGGAGCTTCACCACTAGTTTGGCAGGCACTAAAGTGTTGAATACTGAGCTGTAGTCCACAAACAGCATTCTCACATATGTGCTTTTATTTTCCAGGTGAGACAGAGCAGTGTGCAAGGTGAAAGCAATTGCTTCATCAGTGTAGCGATTATTTCTGTAAGCAAATTGCAGAGGGTCAGTGTGAGCGGACAGTACAGAGCAGATGTGCTTTTTAATCAGCTTCTCAAAGCACTTGCTGAAGATGGGTGTCAGAGCAACTGGACGTCAGTCATTTAAGCATGTGGTTTTAGATTATTTCAGTATGGGCACAATAGTAGCTGTCTTAAAGCATGTGGGAACCACAGGCCGAGAGAGCGAGAGGTCTGGGACGTAGCTTTCAGGATGCTCTGAAAAGATCTCGTTACGTCCACTACAGAAATAGAGTGTGCTGACGGTTTCGGTATCAGCCGCGGAGCGCACAGTGTGTGGGTGCTGTCCTGGGCTTTAAAGCAAGTGTAGAACGAGTTGAGCTCGTCCGGGAGAGACGCAGAAATGTTCACAGTGAGGGGTTTGTTACTTTTAAAGTCTGTGATGTAATTAAGTCCCTGCCACATACTCCTCCCCTATACCTTGTACCTCTGTATTGATGTTTTGCTGTTTTGATAGTTTACCTGAGGTTGTAGTTTGCTTGTTTTTGTTCCTCAGCATTTCTGGATTTATAGGCGGAGGTTCACACTAATAGGGCTGTTCGAACTTCGCCATTAATCTATGGTTTTGGGTTAGGGACAGATTTTTAGACAGTTTAGATATGGACAGTTTTTGTTGGGACCGTGTCTTCTATACACTTTCTGATGAAGCATGTAACGGTGTCTTGAGTAAACTTTAGGTCGTACTCACACTAGGTACAGTTGCCTCGAACTGGGCCAAACCGCACTTGTCCCCCCTCCCGTCTCCCCCGACAGCCTGCACTCACACCACAAATGGGCCTCGGCACGCTTACGTCATCGCTGCTGCGCTGTTCAGTGAGAAGCGCTCTCACTCACTCAGCAGCACAGTGGAGATTTCTCTAGTTATATCGTTTCAGTCGTCTGATATGCAGTGACATGCAGTCAAATATTTCACCAAACAGTCCTTAGGGATGCATTTACACGCAGTCAGATATTTCGCCGAACAGATCCGCCACTTTAGGCGCTTATAAACAATCATAAAGCCCTAGTGCTGCAGGAATGAGGAGGTTTGCTGAAGGCGCGCAACTGTCGTGCAGTGAGATGTCTGCGTCTTTAATAAATTACGGCAGTTTGCGTTCACTGAACAGTAAGAATGATTAATAAATCCATATGAAACAATCCCTTAAAGTCACGTCTCTCTTTCAGTTTCGGGTTTTGGCACGTTTTGCACTCACACTACAAACGTACCGGCCAAGTGAACCGCGCTCAGGCCCTTCTCTTCCAACCGGGCTAGGGCCAGCCAAGTGAACCGTGCTTGAGCCCGATTCAGCTAAGGGTCTTCTCAACGATCCGGGAAACTCACACTTCTCAAACGATCCAGGAAACGGGCCTGGGCACAGTACGGATGGCATAGTGTGAGTAGGCCCTTAATGTCGTCATCAGAAGCTGTCCGTAACATCTCCCAGTCCACAAGATCAAAACATTCTTGAAGTATGGAATCCGACTGGTCCGTCCAGCTTTGAAACGTCTTGAGGGTGGGTGGTTCCCGTTTCAGTTTCTGCCTGTAAGCAGGCAAGAGCAGAACAAAAGAGTCATCTGATATGCCAATCGGTGGGCGGGGGAGGAATTTGTTGGCGTCCCGGAACGGAGAATAGCAGTGGTCCAAAATACGGTCACCACGCATGTTTGTGGTGATATGGTAATAGTATTTTGGAGCGATTTTCCTGAGATTGGCATTGTTAAAGTCCCCTGTAACAATAAACGCTGCCACTGGGTGTGTGGTTTCCTGCTCGCTTATGCTCCCATTCAGTTCTCTTAGCGCCTGCTTTGTGTTGGCTTGAGGGTGGATGTAGACAGCTGTATTTATAACAGCTGTGAACTCTCTTGGTGCCCAGTGTGGTCGGCACCGAAGCATAAGGTATTCCAGATCAGGAGAACAAAATGATCTAACTGGATGTATGTTTCTCAACCATGAGTTGTTAATAAAGAAACAAACACCTCCTTCTTTGCTTTCCCCTGTCGGTTCTTTCATTCTATCCACAGTATCTTATCCATAGTATTCTATCCATAGTATTCCCTGTCTGCTAAACAAATTTTAGAGAAACATTTTGTTGTAATTATGAATATATACAAATAAAAATAGGCCATTGTTACGACCCCCTCGTTCGAGTTGCAACATAAAAGAGCTCAGACAACAAAAAAATTATATATGCAACTTATTTATTATACACAACTAATAAAACAACAAATCAAGAAACAAACAAATGTCTAGGGGAAAATAAAGAAAATAACTAACTTTAACTACACATATAAATAATGCCAAACAAAACCATAAGATTGCCAAAATAAAGAGATGGTCTTGATGCGAAGACGGCCAGTAGCCACACTATCCTGCAGAAGCTAGCTCACTCTCGCATTTATATGCTTTGAACCAATTGGGGAGCTACCATGGCACCTTAACAGGATCTGCCACATCCAAACTGGAATACCAGGGTCGTCACACCATTTACACCTTTCAAATCTGTGTCTTATCAATGTGACCAAAATTACTTTTATGATCAATTATGTAAGAAACTGAAAACTGGACTGACAGCATTTCAATTTACAATGACTTCTATGTTAGGCGACTATGACACAATTTACATTGTAAAAGCTGTAGATAAATAAAGATGAATTTAATCTGCTTAAATGTGTACAGGTTAATGACTGAACAAAATATGATCTGATTTTATTTTACATTTAACATGCATCAAAATAAGTGTGTGTAGCCAATGTTTCTAGTGTCTTTTTACTTTTCAGCTTTTGATGAGAGATTTTTAGACTTAATGAAAATTAATCTGTTATTTATTTATTTCAGACCTAATTGAAGAGAATGAGAGGAAAGAGGAGGAACATCATATCAAAATTGAGGAAAAAACTCATTTACAGACTGATGGTATTTTGAAAAGGAGAGACAAGAATTGTTTCACCTGCACTCAGTGTGGAAAGATTTTGGCAAGCAAAAGCAAACTTAAGATTCACATGATAATCCACACTGGAGAGAAACCATTCATGTGCACTCAGTGTGGGAAGAGTTTCCGCCAAGCATCATCACTTAATAAACACATGAGGATCCACACTGGAGAGAAACCATTCACATGCACTCAGTGTGGAATAAGTTTTAACTGCTCATCATACCTTAAACAACACATGAGGATCCACACTGGAGAGAAACCATTTACTTGCACTCAGTGTGGGAAGAGTTTCAACCGCTCATCAAACCTTGATCACCACATGAGGATCCACACTGGAGAGAAACCATTTACTTGCACTCAGTGTGGGAAGAGTTTCAACCGCTCATCAAACCTTGATCAACACATAAGGATCCACACTGGAGAGAAACCAATAACGTGCACTCTGTGTGGGAAGAGTTTTCGCCAATCATCATCCCTTTCTAAACACATGAGGACCCACACTGGAGAGAAACCATTTACTTGCACTCAGTGTGGGAAGAGTTTCAGCCAATCATCAAACTTTAATCTACACATGAGGATCCACACTGGAGAGAAACCATTTACGTGCACTCAGTGTGGGAAGAGTTTCCGCCAAGCATCATCACTTAATAAACACATGAGGACCCACACTGGAGAGAAACCATTTACTTGCACTCAGTGTGGGAAGAGTTTCAACCGCTCATCACACCTTAATCAACACATAAGGATCCACACTGGAGAGAAACCATTTACTTGCACTCAGTGTGGGAAGAGTTTCAGCCAATCATCAAACTTTAATCTACACATGAGGATCCACACTGGAGAGAAACCATTTACTTGCACTCAGTGTGGGAAGAGTTTCAACCGCTCATCACACCTTAATCAACACATAAGGATCCACACTGGAGAGAAACCAATAACGTGCACTCAGTGTGGGAAGAGTTTCAACCGCTCATCACACCTTAATCAACACATAAGGATCCACACTGGAGAGAAACCAATAACGTGCACTCAGTGTGGGAAGAGTTTTCGCCAATCATCATCCCTTTATAAACACATGAGGATCCACACTGGAGAGAAACCATTCACTTGCTCTTAATTAAATTCAATTCAGCTTTATTTGTATACCGCTTTTACAATGTAGATTGTGTCAAAGCAGCTTCACATAAATGGTCATAATAAATTGGATCAGGGTAGTTCAGTTTTTAGTGTTTAAGTTCAGTTCAGCTCAGTTCAGTGTGGTTTAAATCATTACTGAGAGTCCAAACACTGAAGAGCAAATCCATTGATGCATAGCTCTACCGATCCTGAACCATGCAAGCCAGTGGCGACAGCGGAGAGGGAAAAAAAAAACTTTACTGATAGAAGTTAAGAAAAAAAACCTTGAGAGAAACCAGACTCAGTTGGGCACGACCATTTTCATTTCTTCGCTGGCCAAAAGTCTTGTGCAGAGCTGCAGTCTCAGCAGTGGAGGCTGGAAGCTGGCCTAAGTGAAGACTCGTCTGTCCCTGGAGCATCACTGGAATCAGTCTCATGTTCTCCACTCCCCACGACCATCAGCGCAGCAGCAGCTCAGGATACGGCCTGGTCCCGGATATGGAAACCTTGGGATCATCTCGTCGCAGGTCTTAGATCCAATCAGTGACTCCGCATAATCTGAGGACCTCGGGATGAGTATCCCCAGGTGGAAATGAAGAAAAAAAAAAAGAATAATAATTAGCGTAGCTGCTGTTCATAGTGTATATAAGCAAGATGTAGAAACTTGTGTGGAAACCTGCTAAGTGATGCATTGAGTGTATGCTTTACTAAACAGATAGGTCTTTAATCTAGTTTTGAACTGACAGAGTGTGTCTGAGCCTCGGATGTTATCAGGGAGGCTATTCCAGAGTTTAGGAGCCATAAATGAGAAGGCTCGACCTCCTTTACTCGACTTTGCTATTCTAGGTACTACCAGAAACCCGGAGTTTTGAGATCTTAAAGAGCGAGTTGGATTGTAGAGAGACAGAAGATAAACAGGAGCTAGATTATTTAGAGCTTTATAGGTGAGAATTACTATTTTAAATTTAATACAAAACTTAACAGACAGCCTGTGTAATGAGTATAAAATTGGAGTCTGTGGTCACACCGGACTTTTCTCTCCATAGACTTCCATTCATACGCACACAAATGTGTCAGACTGGAAACATAAGTTTGTGCGTCAAGTTTCGCAATTCACTGCCTTGCAAGGTTCAAGCTTGGTGAACTTTGACCTTGGAAATTGCATCACTTGACTATGTAAGACCCACACTGGAGAGAAACCATTCACATGCACTCAGTGTGGGAAGAGATTCAACCGATCAGCAAACCTTAATAAACACATGAAAATCCACACTGATGTGAAAGAGTATATGCGCTTTGAGTGTGAGAAGACTTATTACAGCTCCAAAATTGAAACTGCACCAGACAATTTACTCTGGAGAGACCGTACAAGTGTTCACACTGTGACAAGAGGTTTAATCAGTTAACACATCTGAAAACAACAGGATTCACACTGGAGAGAAACCGTACAGATTTGATCAGTGTCTACAGAGTTTTAATCATTCGGCGCAGCTTAAGAAACACATAGACAAAAAAGTTGCACACATGACATGAATGCAGCAAAACATTTTCTGTGCACTGGATGTTTCATGTCTGAATAATGTTTCAAAAGGCTGAGTGACAGTATACTGTTTTCCAACACTCCTACACTGCAGTAGGTCGGGTTGTAAATGTGTTGCGCTTCTCGCGTTTACCGTAAACACTGTGGTGGTGGCTGAGAGAAGAACTGTCATAAATATCTGGCCAACAGCTCCTCTCCAGCTTAAAATCTCTTTGCAAGTGATTGTACCAGTGCAGATAAATTTGTACTCTCTCCAGTGTATTCATGTAGCTAGTGTTGTTTTAGATGATGTTCACTGTCTGACTCCCTGAATGAGAGACATCACTGGGAAGACACCGCACATCAAAGAAGGTGGAGCTCTAGGACGCTTAGTTTGCAGTATACCAGGGCCTCAAGTTTTAAAAGCCCATTCAATTGTCCTGTGTTGCAGCTAGGGTTGTAACGGTATGAATTTTTTACGGTATGATAATAGTCTAAAACAATACCACGGTTTGACGGTTTCGCGGTATACGGTATTAAATAGTAATTCTCATAGCAAAGACCCTGAAAAGAATAAGAACACGTTTTCTGACTGAACAAAGGTTTTATTTCAACAAACTTGTGAAAGAACCATTTTAATAGAACTATAGAAGTCTTTTATAAAAATAAACTGAAAAATTTCCCATTTTAATAAATTAAATTAGAAGGAATAAACAAGCAAGGTCTTTTAAGATTAGACAAAAACAAACTTAAAACTGTCCTTCCTTATAAGCAGGATAAATGGGAGACCAAAAGTGCAATACCAAGTTTATGGCTGTAAACATGTATTTAAAGCGTTGTTTTTTTTCAGTCTAGGTTGTGATGAAGAAATGTAAGCATGTTGAGATTTTCAGGACTTAATCTTGACCGCTGAGGTGAGAGAATGTGTCCACTTGTACAATGAACAAATAAAAAAATAAGAAAATAATCAAAAATGTGTCAAAGTCCAAATAAACATGGTGCAAATCCTCAGTAAAAAAAAATAGATATAAATATTTACTATACTATAAATAGTTACATAACAAAGCTAGATTCAATATGGAACATCCTTAGGTTTTATGTGCCAGCATGGATATGGTTGTCTGCAATGCAGACAAAAAGCTGCACCTTCATTTGCGTCTTTTGAAAACAGCAAGAGCAGCAGTTCGTCTTTGCTGTGTCACTGTTTTGTCATGTTTCTGTGCTGCTGTGCATGCAAAAGTACTTAGTATGAGAATTATTTCATGCAAAACCTTTTTTTTTTTTGCGTTTTATTTAGCCGCGCATAATTGTATGCCTATCTCTCATTCCGTGTTGTTCAAAAAGCTCATTGTTGGTCCACAAACAAAAGCGAAACCTATGCTTATCGGTTGTGATATAGCGAGTTTGAACCAATCTGGGCATGGAGGAGGGACAATGCATCAATGTATCATGTCTGATTTGTCCGGAGACACAGTGACGAGCGTTTCTTTGTCAAATCAGTGTTGTCAAATTTTAATGACGTAATCGCACTGTGTCCGGAGCCTCTGAAAGTCCGCAAATGTTATGTGATACAGCACTGGAAAGATGAGATTCTCTTCTTTATGCCAATATTTGAACTGTATGAATTGGATCAGCGGATCAAAAGTTATTAAACATTTAAGAGCAATACTTATTTTTAGCCGCGGGCGGCTGTCTCGGTCTTTAAGGGTTAAAACCGTTGATATGCAATTGTTCATGGTATGATAATCGTGCACGTTCAAATCGTGGTAGACCGTCATACCGGTATATTGTTACAACCCTAGTTGCAGCTTTTATTAGTGAAGTTTCTTTACTTTTAGATTCTAGATTTTTTCTAGTTTACTGCATTTACTTTGAGTAGAATACAAACTTGATGAATATTTGATGATTTAGGCAGAGCCACATGTATTAAGTTTTACAATATTTATACACTGTGATGATCCCAAGACTCCAGATTAGAGCATGTGGTAAATTCTGATTGGACGCCTGCATTACTCATCAATGGGTATATAAAAGTTGTTGTGCTAGCTACCCCAGGACGCTGTGGCTACTCAGGAGTCCACATGTCAAGACCTGCCATCTCATTGGCTCTTTAACCTTATGGATTTGTTTTGCATAACTTTTGTCATGTAGTTAAAGTGTTGTTGTGATTTTATCCTAAGTTCTTTATCGTCATTATTATCCCTAGACATTTGTTGGTTGCTTTGATTGTTTGTTCTATGAGTTACTTTTATAATAAATAATTTGCATTCAGGCTATTTTGTTGGCACTTTTATGGTGCGACTCTAACAAGCGGGTCATAACACTTCGCAAAATGTGGCCGGTTGTATCCAAGATCTTGGTCTTTTCAGTCATGACCATAGGTGAGAGTAGGAACCTAGAATGAGCAGTAAATTAAGAACATTGCCTTTCGTCTCAGATCCTTCACCACAACAGACAACCACATCAACTGCATTACTGCTGCCGCTGCACTGATCCATCTTTAAATCTCACATTCCATTCCTCATGGAAAACCCTGATACTTGAACTCCATTTGGGGTAAAGACTCTCCTCCAAACTGGAGATGGCCACCTTTTTCCAGTCAAGCACAATGGTTTCTTAGAGGTGCTGTTTCTTTCCCTGCCATGTCACACTCAGCAGCAAACCGTCCCACTTACTGCATGTCCTATGAAGCCAAAAAGACAACGTTATCTGCAAATGGCAGAGACAGTCCTAGCCTGCACCTAAAATTCTGTCTGTAAAAATTACTGTATTTTTGAGATCAGCCTGAAAAATAGCACATTTACAAAATAAAATGAATAAATGGATGGATGGATAGACATTGTAGTGGGGGAAGGGGAAGTTGGATGGCTTGTGTAGATGTTAGATGATTACACACACACACTCACACAAGTAATAGCTTCTAGCTTATTTTTATTACGTTCTTCATCAGTAACATGCTTTTCTGTTCTGTCGCTCCCGCCACCGACTTTCCCCTCTAGCTCCACCCACTTCCGTTATGTCACTTGACACACAATAAGCTACATCCCCCGCTTTTTTAGCAGGTGAGAAGGCAACAAAAAGTAAAAAAATAAAATCAGGTAAATGTATATACAGATCTGGCATGAACTAACACGCGCATGAAACAAAGTAATCTCGCATGGCCACGACATATGGCACGTTAGCACGGAAAGATGGTCTAGCAAATAAAGACATGAACAGTAGGGGGCAGTCGTGTACTGTAACGCACTGTATTGAAGCCGGAGCATTCTTTACGCACCATTATAACCTAGAACACTACTACAGGGTTTTTCAAAGTCTAAGACAGTGGGCCTCCCTTTTGACACAACTTATCCATTGGCGCCCCCTCCTCCCAAACATGCACGCACGCGTACACGCACTCGCACACACACACACAAATTCTGGAGGATTTCTTGCTACCTCATCATGCTTGGTTTCAAGGTGTCGCCGAAGTTT